ATATGAAGAATGAACATGAATATGAAGAAATCAAAAATAAAATCCATGAAGTAGCAAAGGAAATCTTCGGAGAAAGGAAAAAAGAATGTGGGTGATTTCAATAAGAGTCCCTGGTGGAATGATGATATTTAAAATATAGTATATATTAAGAAGAATCTTTACCACAAATTGCTCTCAACAACACAACAAGATGATAGAGTACAATAAATGAAACTAAACAGGAAGGTAAAAAGAAGATTACCAATAGAAAGAAAGTATGCAAAACCAATGTGAAAGAATGGAAAAGGACGTAGGAGCCTCTAGATCAAAAGAAACATGAAAAACACTCAAATTATGAAGAACAACTGGAACGAAAGTTCAAGTTATACAGGCTAAAGAATGGAAAGAATAATATGAAAAGATGATCAGAGAAGATCGGACGGAATTCTTGAATATAACACAAACTGCTGTAGAGAGTAATGAAAACATTAATGAAAGAAGTAAAAAATAAGTCCAAGTAGCTGTAAGATTGACGAAAAAAGCAAGATATGCTGGTGCGTTGGGTATACCAATAGAATTAATAAAAAGTAGTCCAGATTTATTATTCAAACAAATAGCCATTATTTTCAACTATATAAGAGATCCTACAAAGATGACCCTACAGAATGGAAGACAGCATATATAATTAATATATATAAAAAGGAGATCGTAAAGAATGCACAAATTATAGACCAATTATTGTGACAAATTCTGTATCTAAAATAAATAAAAAAAATATTAAGACAAGATTAGAAAACGCAATCAAAGCTGTTGAAGAACAAAATGGATTTCAGGCAGGAAGATCATGCATTGATGTAATATTTTGCCTTCGTAAAATAATAGATAAAAGGCTAGCACAAAATCTAGAGATACATATGATCTTAATAGATCACACAAAACCCTATGATAATGTTCCATTAGAAAAATTATGGGAAGTTCTGAGACATCGAAACATAAATATACAATTATTAACAGCAATTCAAAACGTGTACAATGAT